AAGAACCCCGGTGCCCATTAAGGGCCATCTATATATATATATATATACACGTATATACGTATTTATATATATATATATACATATCTATATATATATATATATGTACGTATATATATATATATATATATGTGTATATATATATATATATGTATATGTACATATATATGTATACACATGAAAAGGGCTTTTACTTCATTGTGAGCATTATATACCACCGTACCATCATATGTCGTCGTCCAATAATAGTACACAAACCCTTGTTGCTATTTGTGATCTCCGGCGCCTGGCGCTGGAGCCGGAGCCCTTGAAGCCGTTGTCCCGAACTGTGTTGCTAGGTCCCCGACCTTCGGGATGAAAACCCTAGACCCTATGTAAAGCCCATTCACCGGTGAACCTATACACCCATAAACCCTGAACCCTAAACTGAGAGACCCTAAGGCCCAAACCCTTAGCTGAGGATGTCGGAAAGGTGCCAGATCTGCTACCCTAAACCCTAAACCCTAAACCCTAAACCCTACAGATCTGCTTTTGCTTTGTTCGTGCGTCGGAAGGCTTGAGAAGGGCTTCAGTCGGAGGGAGGCTTGTGAAGGGCTTTCTCTGAGCTGTGGGGGGTAGGTAGGATTCAGGGTTTAAGTGGTTTTGGGGTTTAGGGCTTAGGATTTGGGGTTCACGGTCTACGGTTTTAGAATTTCTCGGGCTTGGAAGGCGGCTACCTTCCCAGCCACAGAGCTGCGAAGCTCTTTGCCTCCAAGTTTCCCCAGGAGCCCTGCACCCAGTCCCTTGAAGCCATGAAGCAAGAAATTTATAACAATCCACGGCTCAGATTCCACAATCTCTATGCTTTTGAACATCTTCTCTTCGCCGGTGTCGGAGCAAGGCTGCCATGGAGTGGGGCTTCTTCCGTTGAGGGTTGAGAGTTTTGGAGGAGGGGCTTGGGATTGCGCCTAGGATGGCCTTTTGGGTTTGAGGCTCCGGGGCTTTAGAAGAGCTGGCAGTGGTGTGCTGCGGAATGTGTCGGTCGTCCTGTGGAGCGGCTGCAGGCTTCGGGGGCGTACTTTTTTGAGGTTGCAAGGATTTTCCGTTTCTTTGGCCTCTACCGCCGCCTTGAGCCCTGAAGCCCTAGCCGTCTGGCTAAACACTTCCATCCCTCACCGTCAAGCCGGCCCTCAAGTTTTCGTGCAAAGGGCTCAGAACATCTGATGCCTGCTGAGACGAGCCACGCCAGCTCTGTAGCTAAAACCGCCCTAATCTGGCGGAAATCGTTGATGCCGCTCAGAAGAAGAGCAGCCGCCTCCTTCGCCGGAGCTTGAGGAGTGCTTTTGCTGCTGCTATTCAAGAGCCTGGTAGGTGTGGTTCCGCAGTGTTCTGCTTCGTCTGACATCTGCAAGCTGCGTTTGGGGTTTAGGGTTTAGGAGTTGAGGGGGAATGAAGCCTGTGATGCACCACATGCTGTAATTTTGATGTCACTCCGTCTCAAGATCAAGCCTACCTTCTAGCTTACGCTGCGAGGAGCTTCGTCGGGCGGTGCTAGCAGCTGAGGCCACGCTCAAGTTCTGGGCTGGGGTGAAGCCGCCCCAGGATATCTCAGGAGTGAACCTCCGGTGGGCTCGGAATGAAATGTTCAGGCTTGGTCTGTCTGGTGCTTAGTAGGGAATGGGGGAATGGATCCCTATGATAGTCCCTTAAGGTCCCTTATAGTAGTCCCTATAACCCATTCCCCCATTCCCTACTAAGCACCAGACAGTGGTTCAGGCCTTTGGAAAATGGGTCTGAAATTCCGTGTGTGAGTTAGTGCCTTCAGTGGGGAGGGCTTGGGGAGTAAAGAAAGTCAGTCGAGTGGATTCTGTTCGGGAAGACATGAGGTGTCTGGAACATGTAGAAATATCGATGGTTGCTTGTCGGTAACTTAGGGTTGGGCAGTGAGGCCCCTAAACCCTAAACCCCCTAAACCTCCATCCCTCCTTCCGTCTCAGAGTTTCCCAGGCTCCAAGGAGGAAGGTGCTAGGTATGATATTTGAGTAGCCCTTCGTATTCGTGTCAGACACGAACTATGCAGCCCGAAGCCAAGCCAAGCACCATAAACCGCAAACCCTGAAGCCCTCAACCCCAAACTTCAAACCCCAAACCCTGCACCCGAAACCCCAAACCCTAGTCCCTAGACCCTAAACCCCAAACCCGAAACCCTCAAATCAGGCTCTTTCGTCGGGCCAGAACTCGGAGCTCTTGGAACACGTGCGGGCAAAACTGGAAGAGCTGGATGCCCATGCGGGTTTAGGGTTTATGGGTTTGGGGTTAAGGGCTTATGGAGAATCAGAGTTTAGGTGTTTAGGGTTCAGGGCAGTTTAGGGTTTTGAGATTTAGCGTCTTGGGTTTTGGGATTCAGGTTTCGGGGTTTCGGGTTCAGGGAATTAGGACACACCTGCAGTGTAGCCACTACTTGCGGGCATGAGTTGCGAGTAACGTAGTCCTTTCCGCTTTCAGGGCCGCAATGTTTTGAGTTGTTGAGGTCGTCGCCTGCCACTCTATATATAGATACATACATACACATATATATGAATGTATACTCTTCTATATTGAGTTATGTTATCTTATCTTATATTATATCTCCCATATGATATATCATATAATATAACACTGCTGCCTTCAAGAAGCACCTGCCCAAAGGACCAGAAGAGACTCGAAGGAGTGGTTGGCAGTTGAGGACTTTTTGGGATTCCAGACTGGAGAATGGAGGGCTTCGAATGAGAGACAGTGAAAAAACTCTTCCTAAACCATAAACCCCAAGCCCTCGACCCTAAACCCTAAGCAACCGCAACCCTCGACCCTAAACCCTAAACCCTAAACAACCCCAAACCCTCGACCCTAAACCCTAAGCCCCAAACCATCGACTCTAAACTCTAAACCGTAACCCCCCAAAAAAACCTCGAAGCCCCGAAGCCTTAAAAACGGAAGCCTCGAAAGCCGGCGCTTAGGCTCGAAGCCGAGCTCGCGCGTGATGTCAAGGCCATTCCTCGTCTGGATGTGGGTTAAGTATGTAGCATATCTTTCGATATACGCATATTATATATATATGTTGTATAGAGTACATATGTATACACATACATGCATGTGTATATATATATATATACATATGTATATACATGTATGTGTCTATGCAAGATATCACGTATTTTATTGTAACTTCCAATGGGTCTTCTGTGTAAATAAGTAAATATATATATATATATATATAATATAAACAGACGTCTAATATACTGTTATCTGTTATTTTGGGTGTACTATCTACTATGTCTATAATCTAGATTGTATGATGTGTCTTATAGCTAAATTCGGCCCCCGAATGTATGAGAGTTCCCAGAACGGGCCATCATTATGATCAGAACCGTTCGTTCTGTTCCTTCCATCTGAAAGACTATTATCTGGGGTTTCAGTCGGTTTATAGATTTTCAGAACAAGTAAAAAACATCATTGGGCGTGGAGCCTCAGGCCGCAAAACGTTTTCCTAGGCGCCGAATCTCCACACTCGAGATCCTATCCCCGAAGCCCTCCCCACGCTCGCTCGTCCTTCGTGTCATATTCACGGGCACAAGAGTTGCAACCGACATCTGCTTGTTTTAGTGTTGTCATTGTCATGAGTAGTAAGACTGTTATCGTTGCAGTGTCATGCTTGCCACTATAGGTGCACATCGTCAACGGCATGAGTGGCGAGCTCGCGGCCGTGGCGCGTGGCCCAGATTCGAGAGAGTCCTCAGCCCTGACAGTTTCCTGCCGAGTGTTCAGTCGGAATCAAGTGTTCGGGCGCTACGGGTAGCTTTTGCTTCTGGTGGAGGACCTAAGTGTTCGGGCATCTCGGGTTTAAATTCTGTGTTGAAAGTATGGCTTCTTCCCTGGCCTAGCCACCCAGAGAAGGGGAGACCCGCTGAACGCACCTTGAGTCCGAAAGTTGCGAATCGCTTGCCATCTCGAACAACAATTAGCCACGGAAGCCACGCCACACACAGCGAGGTGCGTGCGCGGCCTGGTCGGGCACCAAGCCATTGATAAGATCTATCGTGGCCTGGGTTTTAGCTTCTTGAGGCGAGCAGTTGAAGACTTGGAGTAGGGGGGATTGGGTGTTCTTTGTAGTCTGCAGCATCCTTAAGGCTGCTTCTGCAAGAGGGGTGTGCTGGAATGGAAGCAAAGAGAGCAGATACATCAATGCATGAAGTGTTCTGGTAAACCTGGGCCCAGCACCACCGCTTGTTGGTGCCTGTTTCGCATCTACGAGTTGGTGTTCAAGAGTTCGTAAGGGACCCTGTAATTTGGATCAAGGCTTTGGGCATTCTGTTTGTGGAAGGTGCGCTTGCGGAATGCAGCAAAAGGGACCAGAGTGACCACATTGTTGCTGATTCGTTGATGGGCGCGAATGTATCAAGTTGCTGGCCATATGGTTTCATCTATGTATATTTTGTTACTTTTTATAGTATATAGGGACTTCAAAACCCCATTCTAGAATGCGAGTGTTAGTACCTGGCAGCTAGTTCGTGTTGCTCAGAAGCTCCCTCTCTTAACATGCACTCCCGAGGCGACACGGCTTTCCGTCTCAAAGAAGCGATCCTGTGAGAGCCCCAGATTTCCGGCGTCTTCTCGGGTTCTTCCGGCTAGAGCGCTTAATCCTCGCCGTCCTAAACCTCCTGGTGGCCTGGGCTCAGAAAGCTCAGGCGCATTTTCCAAGCCACATGCCTCCGCCAATCTAGGGAATGTAGCTCAACCACGAAGTCTCAAGTTGAGTCTCTTGGTGTGCCCAAGCCTTGTTGGATTTACTTCTCGATTGTTAAGGCCGAGAAGGCTAGACGAGAACAGACGTCAGTATCTTTCTGCGACCTACCATTCTGTCGCAGTAGATGCCCCGTAAACGAGGCCCTCCACAAAGAGCACTGTAGCCTGTTGGGGTGCGGTCCAGAGTTGCCACGTTGGTTCAATATCCCAAGCCTTGAGCCCTAAATCCTATCAAACCCTAAACCCTAAACCCTAAACCCCAAACCCTAAACCCTAAATAAGATCCTACCCCAGCTTCCCCAAATCCCTAAGCCGGGATTGACGGTTGCCTTTACTTTAAGGAGGAGCCCGCTGGGATCTGAAGGGTTTAGGGCGTTTAGGGGTTTGGGTTTAGGGTTTAGGGGTCGGAGAACATTTAGTAAGAATCTTTCTCCACAGTTCTGACATCCAGCTCGTGTACTATTGTACACCCCAAATCTTATGATACTTCTGTGGCAGCCGCGAGCTTGCTTTCTGCAAGCGCGATGCTTTGGGGTATGGTGGGGATTACTTCTAGTACGCGGCCCCTGAAACGCCACCACTGCACCGAACCCCACATCTGAAAGCCCTGTGCCCGAAAACGGAAGCTGCCAAGGACCCGCCCTGAACCCCAAAGCCTCAGTTGAGCCGGACGAAGGTCCGAGGGCCTCGTGAACTCCGAGGAGGACGGGCTGCAGCCTCCTCAGCTGTCCTTTCAGCTCGGGTTGAGGCTTTGGACTTTCTTGGGACTATGGCCCTGTTGTCGGGTTCGAGTTCAGCTGTCCTGCTTTCTATGCGTTTCCGGGCTGCGTTTCGGGCAGTCCGGGGCTCTACACTTCTTTGCTTTGAGGAGTGTTGGGGCTTGAGTCGTGTCACAAGTCGTCTCGAAGAACCCGACGACTACTCCGGCAAGTGCGACTGCGACCCGCTATGACTTGGTGACTAGAGGGTTTAGGGTTTGGGGTTTAGGAGTGGTTGGAGCAACTTGCGCAGAGCTTGGCTCCGGGTTGAGGGCAAAGCATCGACCCAGGTGCTCCATCAACTTCCTGCATGGTGGCCACTTCATGGACGAGTCCAAGACCCTCGCCGAGGCCTGGAGGGCTTCCGAAGCTTTCTGCTCCAAAACCCCCAGAGCCCTGCATCGTGTCATGACAGGATGCTCCTCTCCTGTAAGGCCTTGCTTTCTCCCCATGAGGGTCCTCATGATAGTTCCTTTCGGTCGAAGAACTCCCCAGAAAGAGCAAGGAAGTTCTGGTTTGGCCGGGAAAGAAAGCTAACCCTAAGGCCTAAACCCGAAACTCTTCACCGTCAACCAACATGCCGAAACCCCAGTCTGGAAACCTTAGTTCCTAAACTCCAAGAAAAAGCTCCAGTCCCTGTAGACTTAGCCAAACCCCGAATCTCAAACCCTAAGCCCCAACCCTGAGTAAACCCTTGAAGTCCCAAACCGACGCTGTGCAGGCCGGCATCCGCGACGGTGACCAGGTCCCTAGCTCCGGACTGCTGCATAGTAGGTTGGAGTAAGGGGTTTATAAGAGATACACTAAGGGTGTAGGGTTTAGGGTTAAGGGTTTAGGGTTGGAGTAAGGGGGTTTATAAGAGATACCCGAAGGAATATTATTCGGGCTACAAGCACCGGGGCTATCACGTA